ATCTGATGTTAACATTATTTGGGTAGTGTACTCAATATGCCATTTCAAAGCTAAATAATCAATCCCTTTGCACACTAACATTTGCCTCATCAGGGAGTGGAATGACAATCATTTCCCTAGACTCCTGTATAATAGAAAAAGTAACCCAAGGTCAGACTTGCAAATCTCAACAATACAGAATATAGGGACATGTAGCGACAGATGTCTAGAATATCCGTTTTGCTTTCCATTTAATTACATTCACTTCTTTTCAAACCATTCTGATTCTGTGAAATACGTTTGAGTCGTTCTTTGAAGTGAAAGGCAACATATAAATGTAAGTTGCTGATATAAAAATGTGTTTGTCCCTTCCCTTGTAACACAATTTAGACACCAATACCAATCCAGTAAGGTCCAAACACAGACAGATACAATTGCTCTGTGGTTAGTACTGTGCGTTGCACTCACAGTATACTTTCTGGTACTTTCCTGGTTGAATTTGAGAAGATTACACCTGCAAAGTTGTCTTAAAACATCTGTGTTGTGAAATGTTACAGTAGATTAACGTGACTGGTACATGTTAGTTTCTCCTCACTTGCTGCTGTTTGAGTATTGAAATGGCTGCATTTTTTGACAGGCATCAGATTAGTGAAAGAATTAGGAGAGCTTTAGTGATCACCTGATTTTCTGGAATAAAGCTGCTCACCACACAAGAATTTTTAGCAATCAGTAAAACAAGATAACTGAATGAAAAAATAACCTTTCAATGGATCTCTCAAATAAGTGGACTCCAATAGCTGTTGTTTCAAATTTGTCTGGAGCATTTAAAGTACTCTGAAATGTTATTCTATGTGAAGGACACTATATTTGTTGATATTTTTGTCTGTCTTGAAACATGTGAATAAATAGTTGCACTGATACTATCAAAAGCCATATGTTTCCACTAGAGTGTGCACTAACATAAGTTATGTTAATGTGATTTGTATGCTTTGAAATCACTCATACTTTGTAACAGAATAAATTCTACAGGTTGCAAAACCTTTACAAAAGTAAACAGTAATGGATAACAATTGGGTATGTTATTAATATGGAAAGTAAAAAAGTGTCAGTCACAGTCCAGCATTAGAGTTTTGTAAAATAAAACCTAAAAAGGCTGATCCATTTACTTCACAAGATGCACAGCAGTATGCCAAGCTTTGATGGCATGGTACAGCCATTTCCACGGAAATTCTAATATATAACATATAATATCCTATTGAATGAAAGGCACTGTATCTAATATTTGAAATAATTCCCATTGGGAATAGAGCTGCACTCAATCTCAGGGAGAGTGGACATTGCTGAGATTCTCTGGATTCCTCAGAAGATCCCATTGGCTATTCGTTGCAGTGCTATTTTGTTTTATGGGGTTTAAATTAGCAAGGGCCAGTCACACGAAATGATCAGAAACCTTATCACATTCTCCTGGTCCACATACAAGCAGAGCTGGTAAAATACTGTTAGTGTCAAAGAGAAGTTGCCATAAGGGTTGTCCTTCTGTGCTGTCAGCATCTGGTGACTGAAAACTGCTAACAAGTGTCTCAAAGCAGTTCATGGCACCTGTCAGTTGAATGCAAAACACCCCACATGAAGCCTGCGTAAATTAGTTCATGATAGGAATGAAAAATTGAACAGACTGTACTGGCTGCAGTTTCTCTGAAGCCTGATGTGCCTACAACAATAATCGTTGTAATTTATCGGTGGGTTATATTCTCACTTATAAAAATAACTCAGTGCAGTCACTTGAACTTTAAGCGTTTTAGCATAAAGACAATGGGATAATGAATGGATTAGAGATCAAGGGCAACCGAGGTAACAATTTGTGATATTTCATCTACTGATATGCTGTGATTTGAGGAATTTTTGTAACAACACAGGAAAAAAAATCACAAATTCATTTCTTTATAGAAATGGTCTAATATCAATTGTTGACCTACATTTTGCATACTCAGAGCTGAAATGTGTTTACTATAAGCCTAGTGTGTCTTATAATACAATTTTGTCTGCTTAATGGAGCAATTAGTGACACTTCATGTTGTTCAATTATAAATCCATTTGAAAATAAAATAGACCTAATGGCACTTTGGGTTCAGGGGATCATCTGATTGGAACATTAGACTGGGCAAAAACTAATAGTATTAAACGTGGCTACAGAACATATGTACATTTCTGTCCACCCAACCACCAAATTCTAAGAACAGAATTCTAAAATGTGTGATAGAATTTGTGCATTGTGTTTCCTTTTTTTAAATATGATTTCTTCAAAAGTAAATATTAACGAAATAGGTGATTCTTTATTCAGTTATAGCCCTCACGTGTTGGGGAATTAAACTGCAGCATTCTGCCTCCACGATTCTTACCTTTTGGGATTCAACTACTGTAACCCACAAGGAAACAAGCCTATGGGGCTGGAAAGCCATCTGCGCTCTATCAGACATAGGTATGTAGATGGGAAAAGATGCACGAGAGGCATTCTTTGGTTTCTAGCAATTACTTATTTGCCTGGGGCTCTTCATTCTTGATAGGAGACATCTCAGAGGGGACCTTATAAAGATACACAGGATTTTAAATGGGATTGAGAAAATGATCCCAGAGCATATTGTTGTGCACTTTCAGACGCTGCTTTCAATGCACAGCAATATGTGAAACAGCAGAACAAGATTTACAGTTGCAAAGGGCAATTTCAGGACAGACTCCAGAGTTTTGCCTGTGTTGCAAGAGAAGGGGCACATGTCTTCATTTTCTCTCCCTTGATACAGTACTGAACAATGTACTATCATGCATATCATATATAGGGTACAGAATGCCAATCCAGTTAAATGTATACAGGCTAAAATCGTACTTTACAAAACAGCAGTGGCAAATAATACTATTGGAACATTTGACAAGCTGGCATGATGAAAATGCATTTATTTATTTCAGCAAATATCAGCTTCAGACATTCCAGACTCACATATTCCTAAGCCTTCAAAGGAGCAATACATAACTACAAAATTATTTAAATGTTTCTATTGAAGAAAGGCTTATTACATCCCTGTGTGTCGTGTCACATCAACGAGTTGCCCTCTACTGCAGAATAAAACCTAGAAAAATGCAAGGGGAATTGAATTTGATCAAAGGTCGGATACAGAATTAATTTGATCTTGCACTTTGGATTAGCACTGATGAAACACTGTTTTGTGCCCATGTGCTGTGGTATCACACTGTACAGTGCAGTAAGTAGGACAAGTATAATTGTCCTATGATCCTCTTTTTTATGTGGCTCAAAAGCCCTAACCACAGATGCCATCATGATTGACTATCAACCTCTCCAGCCATTAGTATAATGAGAGAGGAAGAGGAAGGAAATAAATTACAGTCACGTTCAATACTTTCAGGCCTGGTTTCCTACTTTATAATTCTCACACATTCTGTAGGATTTATTTACCAAACATTTATTTTTTAAACATATTTTGTTCCCCATATTGTTTTTCTATCACTGGCAGCTCACAAATAATCAATAATTATGTTATATTCATAAGTGTGTAATGAACAAGAGATAATGAAATGATAATTGGGAACTACATAAAGTGAGGGTAACTTCCATCACTCAATTTTAGACCTTTCATAGAATGGTGTTTTTAGAATGAGTCTAGGTAAAATATAATATTGAACTGTCCTTGGGAATAGTTAGAAACAGAGGAACTTGACTAAAAAGGCTTTGCTAAAACTGAAATGATTTCTCTTGATAATAAAACATTATGTGATACATAAAGTAGCTTATATTTACAGCTAAAAATATTTGTGATTTTATATGGAAATGCTCATATGATGCTGAAGTAAAGATAAATCTTCCAATCTCAGTCACGGTCTAAGTCATGGAGTCTATCTACATGTACATCACCTATGCTTCTTAGGCTTCTTATCATTTCACCTACAAAATGCAGTGACTCCACTTCAAATAATAACAAACCATGCATTTGATATAGCACTTTATCACATCATCAAAATGTCTCAAAGCGCTTCACAGCATATACTGTAAAGTGGTGTGACTGTATTTATCCTCTGATGCGCTTTGAGATGTCCTCCAGACATAAGGATTATTATTCAAATGTGATTGTGATGTATAGTTAACCCATAAATGCCTTTGATCTGAGATGAGCAATCATTCATCACATCCTAAAATATCAGTGCATTATCCTCACACTTGAGGGGAAATCAGCAATATTTGTAACAATAGCAATGCCTGCTGACAGACTCAAATCTCGTCATGTTGCTTGCAAAAATATATTACCATAAATTCTCTAGCTTCTACGTAATGAGACCACTAGAGTAGGAAATGCACAAATAAATTCTAGTATGGCCCATTGAGTTAAGAGACGGAATATGTGAAAATACTGTGACAATCTTAATAACCATTTAAAATATGAATAGGCTGCCTGCCGCATTACAGTGTCAGCTGTGAACAAGTTCCTTGAACATAATTTAACGCTCAGTATAGTGGAAATATATTACTAAGTTCATTTCGTGACATTTTGTAATACTCGAGGCTGTGTGAAGTAAAAGGAAGACACGAGTGAATGGTGAGTGTGAAATTGAGACCATTGGAAATTTGTACCAATTTGGACAATATTGAAACCTTTCTTCAGATCCGAGGGGAAAAACCTGGACATCCTGATTTGAATACAAGTCAGGCTTTTGTACACGTTTTCCTGTAGATTAAAGGTTTTGCTTGAAGTGATTCCCTAATGCAGTAGCAAATTTATATCCCAATAAGTGAAGTGTATCAGTGCCTAAACTATGCTATCCACAGATAAAGGTTGAATAATAGATCATGGAATAAATGGGCTTCGTCCCTTGTCAGTGATGAATAGGGAAACTGAGTGCTGTGATGTGGTATAAATCCTGATCTTTATAATCGTTGTCTTTCTATTATGAGCTAGACATCTTTGAAGAGAATGTAATAATTCAAGCTTTTGGTAATGACTGAAAAACAGCAACATACTGTAATCAGTATCGAAGACATTATTTCAAAATTCTTTATTCCAACTTATTGTCAGCAATATATCAATACAGTTTATAAATGAATGCCTTACCTTAATTCCCATCTTTATTAAAAAATAAATATTGTTGATGCTAAATAGTATTTATGGTGGGATGTGTTGGATCTACTTAAAATTCTCACAGGGAATTAAATCTAAGTACAGGTACTGTAAAAGTAAAGGAGGGAAATCATCAAAAAAAAACTTAAAATATTCACATTTCATTAGATTTACCAGCTCTGCATTTTCACTTTAGAATACTATGAACCAGTAAACTGGCAACCAGTAGCAATTTGTTGCAGAGAACAATCAATAATCTTATTACTAATAACCATGCTGCAAATAGCAAGGCTTTAAATTTTATTTACTGGAAAATTAATGCATCACGTTGAGGACATTTAGTATGTGCAACATAGATGGTTGAAAATGTTTGAAGTTCATTCTTTTTTCTCTCTCTTCATGCCTTCAAATCCTTTTTCGTGTTTTTTTCTTTAAAAAAGCACTAGTTCTCAAATTCTCCTTTCTTCAGTTTTTTTTTGTCTCCGCTGCACATTTTCCGTGTTTACTTGAGAAATACAACTTCGAAGAAGTCAGTCAGAAGTTTACTAATATGTGCAGAGCCTTTGTAAGATCAGCAAAGAGATAAACAGGAATGGGTGAGTAGCACAAAGGGGTTCCAAACCTGCAGAGAGAATTAAAGATAGTTTGTACATTACTTAAAATATTTAGTGAATTCACTTTACAGTATATCCTGTGAAGTGCTTTGAGATGTCTCAATGGTGTGATAAGGCGCTGTGTCAAATGCAAGGATATTATTATTATTACTTGAAATTGAACAAAGTCATCATTGGCAATTGCCGACTGTTTTTGCAGACGATGAACAAACATGAGGTTTGGTGTTAAATTTATTGACCAGCCAATGATCTGTGCTGGAGAGATTGATGAATGTGTCAGAATAATGAAAGCCCTCAGTTACCTCCCCAGTAATAAAACCTGCACACATTAAAATTCACTTAACTCCTTGAGCTAAATTTGTTGAAAGCTGACCTTGTAGGAGATTGTGAAGTACTGACTTTCTCTGGAAGGAATAATGCAGCAGTTCGTTCGTGGGTGTTTTGGTCTGCTTTAACTTATAAAGAACCATTTTGGAAAAACGTCAAAACAAGCATTGAAAGGATTTTGACCTAAACCGGAATATATAAAAATTTGGAATAAGAAAAACCCATTGAGGTCACTTCTCACTTCTTCAATAGATTATGCATATTTGATTCAGTGCAGTCTCCACCTAACCCAGTTTACTTGCTGAGCAAAGACTTTGTGAACTTTATTCATGTTCCCAAAAGGTAAATCAAACAAAACAACAGACTAGCTATGTAATCTTACACCTTACAGCATCCGCCCCAGCGAGATCCCTTCAATCACAGGCAATTCCATGTTCCCAGCGTCATGGTCGTCAGATCATCTGATCAACTCTATCTACTTATATATAAGAGTTGTTACGGTCTGGAATGCACTGTCTGAAAGGGTGGTGGGAATAGATTCAATAACCACTTTCAAAAGGGATTTTGATAGGAACTTGAAAAGGAAAAAAATTGCAAGGCTATGGGGAGAAAACGGGGGAGTGGAACTGATTGAGTGGCTCTTACAAAGAGCTGGCACAGGCACGATGGGCTGAATGGCCTCTTTCTGTGCTGTAATATTCTATGATTCTTATGCATATAACCTGAAATCCATTCCTAGTCAGATAATCACCTAGTTTTCTTTAATGATTTGAGAAGCACAATATTACCTATTTTGGAATGAAGTCTTACACATATCTACAACTATGTAAGGAAAATATACAGTGTTTCTAATCTTAAACCTTGCTTGAGGCATGTTAATATTATGTGCATACCCTCAAGCTCTGTGCTCACGTCCTAAGTCATACAATCCACTTGCCTTTAGACTTATCTAATCCGCTCATTACTCCAGGTATCGAGGAATGTATTTCTGAGTTCAATTCTAGGCAGGGCGAAACCTTGGGCAAGTTTCCTTACTCCACACGCCTAATAATAATCCCTCAAAAAAAATAATAAATTGGTCATTTTCAATCTACGACTGTTTGTGGGACATTGCTGTGCGCAATTGGCTGCCGCGTTCGCCCACAAATATACAGTCAATTCACTTTACAGTATATTCTGTGAAGCGCTTTGAGACGTCTAAAAGACGTGAAAAGCACTATATCAAATGCATGGATTATTATTTTATTATTATTTCAATAGGTGGAAAGTTTGTTAGATTTAATTTTGTTTGATTCATTGACATATGCTGTATATTATGAGCAATTAACTGGTGAGACACAGTTAACAGAAATATATGCTACTGAATTGTTGATGGTTCATTACCTTTCTTTCATTTATCTGAAGGACCCATAAGTCATAAAACACCCCAGCGGCAATTGTGCATTGAAGGCTTTCTCACACACGAATGAACAATGGGAATGCAGTATCATTTGCTGTGAGATCCAGTGTACTTCATGGTCAAGCTGCTATAGGATTTACAATGGGTTGAGAAAGGTGGCATTTTTTTCACAGAAGAATACCATTAGGTTATTATTGCTTGCCCGAATGCTTGACCTTCTGGGGAGTTTGAAAATATCAAAATCCCCAGAGAAAAGAAAAATTAACTGAGTAATTAATTTTGCAGCAGAGTACAGCTGACGTGATTCTACAGTATGAAAGACTGTTTCAAGAAAACAGCTGATATGCAGTTTTAGGCTTTTGTTTTGTTAGCTGGGTAATTGGCTGTGTATTGTGGAGGAATCTAATTTGAATGAGCTGGGGCTAGCTTGCATCCTTTCCTGGTTAGCTGTGAAGTCATCAACTCCAGTGGTACGACATACAGGACAAGGCTTGCTGAGAATCCTTCCCCGTTTTATTAGTATATATGATACTTGTGTGAGATTATTTACTAAATATACTCTGCTGAAGTACTGATTTAATGGATTGGCACAGCCCTGGAAATCAGTGACTGTTTCCTCTAATCCCTCACATTGCAATCTGTTAATAACATTGATACAGTAAATCGTTGCAAAAATAAGAGAAATTACCCCCAGAATTTGACATAAGGATATTTTTGATTTAAACCTGAACCATCTCTTTTCCAGTAATCTACTTAACAATTTTATATAATTCTGGCAAACTCAAATTCAACCAACTGTACGTGCTTAAGATGATTTAAAAGTGTCACCAAAAGATCATTGCAATAAAATGGAAATACCGCTTAACCCTTAGGGAGCTGAAACACATCGTTTCAGGTTTCAAAACGCTTAGGTTCGTACAACATTTGCAAAAAATGTCATTTGTACATCTGAAGTCAATCCAATAATGCACATAACTCAAATTTACACTTAAGACTACAAGTATTTGGGGCTAGTCAAAAATCACGCAAATTAAGACCACGGTGGCAGAACTGAAGAGCAACACTGGCTTTCTGACAGGAATAAGGCACAGAAGTAGGTAAAATCGGTCATTCACTTTATGGATGTTGCTGGGTGGCAATTGACTGCTGTGTTTGCCTTCAAAATTACTGCACTTTACAGTAAATGCTGCGAAGCACTTAGAGACGTCCTCCTGACGTGAAAGACACTATATCAACGCAAGAATTATTATATGTGAAGAGTTACACGCTTCACGTGGTCGAGGTCTTTTCTGTATCAGAACGCAATTAAGGCTGTATTTACAGAATATAAATTCTCAGAAAGATTGTTTACAGCACAAAGGAAGACCTTTTGGTCACATTTGGTCCATCACATTGGTGCTGATCAGATGCTCCACTGGAGCTTTCTGCTATATTATCATTCCCCTCTTTCCCCAAACCATTTAATGCAGCATTATTTTCCTTCATTTAACCAATTCGCTTCTAAATGCTGCTATGGACTTTGTTCAGTTACCCACACAATGAACAGCATGGATCTGCCCGTAAGATGACATGAGGAAAACCATGTTAAGAAAGCAAATGGGTATTTTACCTTGTAATCAGTTGCCCAGACTGCCTGCTTATGATTTAATCAAATTGTATGCTAATAGCCTAAGATTAAAAAAGGTTCAAAAAATTACAGAGCTCAGATCTGTTCCCCTAATTCTGGGAATAGACATGAAGAAACTACACAGATGAAATAAAATTGTATTGAACTTTGGTAACTGAGCTCATTCCAACAAATCAGGTTCATACCATGAATTACAATAGTATCTTTCGTCCAGATGGATTTCTACTTCACAGCTCATTTATTTTTTCTATTTTGCTTTTATCCTCATCAAGGTGATGAAAGTTAGTGCTGGTGAATGGAGAACTTTTCCACCAAATATTAACATCAACCACTTTAAGGTTGGCTCGCGCAGGGCAGATAGAAATCCCTCACTACACTGTACCACCAACATACCCAACCTTATAAGAAGACTCTCTGTTGCTATTATCCACCGTTTCCCTTTCTCTGCGTGAGATTTCTAATTTAATATGCCAATTAGTGGCAAAGGTAAGGATCCAAATTTTGAATGGACTGCATAGCCTCATTTCACGTATGATCCTTACAATCAGAAAAAAAAGTCACTTTAATCCCAACAGTCTGGGTTGCATTTGAATCCAGACCATTTTGATAAGAGGACATGGGTTGTTGATAACCAACTGGGCTAGCCAAACCCCAAATCAAGTGACTGACGAAATCAACTTTGAAGGAAAAAGGTACTGATTTTGTTTCTGAGATGTAGCCCTGAAAGAGGAATAGAAATAGCCGAAATGTAAACAGGACACAATGCATTTCTGTTTAGGGTAGAATGTTTCCACGCTCAACAACAACAACAAGATTCCATTTATAAAGCGCCTTTCACGTCAGGAGGACGTCCCAAGGCGCTGCACAGTTGGGTCATGACCCGAGCAGGGGGGAAATGGTTAGGGTGAGGGGAGGGAAGGGAGGGAGCGAGGAGGGGGAAGAGGGTCGAGAGGGAGCTGAAGGCTCGGTCAAAGAGAAGATAGCTCATAGCACAGGTGAGGGAAATTCTGCTCACGACAACAACAACAGCAAAATTACATTTGTATAGTTCCATTCAGGTCGGGAGGACGTCCCAAGGCGCTGGACAGAGAGAGTTATGGACCCGAGCTGAGGGTCGGGGTGGGAGAGGGGAGGGCAGGGGGGCAGGCAGGGAGATCGAAAGCACGGTCGAAGAGGAGTGTCTTGAGGTGGGTCTTGAAGGTGGTGAGGGAGGGGATGAGGTAGAGGAACTGCGGGGTGGAGTTCCAGAAGGTGGGTGCAGAGCGGTGGAAGGCCCGCGCGCCGATAGTTGGGGAGAGCAAGGCGGAGGATGTGAAGCAGGCCAGAGCCCACTAAGTGGAGGGGTGCGAACAGGGTGGTAGGGGGTTAGGAGGTTGGAGAGGTAGGGAGGAGCAAGACTGTGGAGGGCTTTGAAGGTGAGGACCAGGATCTTGAACTGTATCCTCTGTGTGATGGGAAGCCAGTGGATTTGAGCAAGGATGGGGGAGATAGGATCGCGGAGCCTGCTGCGGGAGAGGACACGGGCTGCAGAGTTCTGGATGATTTGCAGCCTGTGGAGCGAGGAGTTGGGGAGACCATCAAGCATTGAGTTCGCATAGTCGAGCCGCGATGTAATGAAGGCATGAATGCGGGTTTCAGTGCCCTGTGGTGTTAGA